GCGACCCTCGCTTCTCCTGGTCGCCGTTCTGAGCCGCCGCTGCTGCTGCTGGTGCCGCTGCCTTGCCTCCTCCCCCTCCTGCTGCAATGGCCCCTCCCCCTTTCTCTCCCTGCCCCCTCCTGGACGCCACTGCTTTAGCGGCCTCGAAAGATTCCCCCTGTGGTTGTAAGGGGGGAAGGGAAGGGGGGAGGGGGGGGGGGGCAGTGCTTGCTGCTGGGGGAGGATCTGCTGCTGGCCGAGCTGCTGCGGCTGCTGCTGCTGACTGCAATCGCCCCCAGAGCCAGTGCTACTGCCACCGCCAGCAGCACGCCCCTCATCAGTCCGACGCTTTTTAGCGGCCAGCCTAGCTTTGAGCTCATTATGTTTCGGGGCTGCCTTCTTTGCTTGCGCACGAGAAGCCCCCCAGGTCTGAAGGGCCGCCTTGTTGGAGATCCAAGCCAGGCTCTCCTTCCTCGTCTTCGCCTCCTCGACCACCTCCACCGACGGTTCCCGCCCTGCCTCCTCAGCCAAAAAGGCCGCCATCACCCAACCGAAAGCCCTCAATGCACCCGTCCACGAAACACTCCAGCGATAGTACTGGCTTGGCTGGCTGAGGGGGCTGCTGAAGCTCCTGCGGTTGGGCCGTGGACGCGAGCTCCCAAACTGCTGTGGCGTACTGCTCTTTGGCCCTCTCCAGGGCCAGGAACGCGTCAGCACGGCTTTTCTTTTTTTGGCACGCCCCAGGGACTCTTGCAAACCTGCGGCCGTGGCGACAGCTCGATCTAGTTCCTGCTTCGCGGGCCCCCACTGCAGCTTGGGCGGCTGCTCGAGGGCGCGCAGCTGCACAAGATACTTACTGGCTGCCTCGAAGTCTAAACTGGCCTCGAGAAACTGGATGACTTAGTTGAGCGCATCTTTCGTACCCCCTGAGTCCCAGATAGCTGGTTGGTAGGTTTTGGACCAGGCACCAGGAGCAGCACCAGGAGACACAGCACCAGGAGGGGCGGACTGGCTGGCAGCCCCCACTCCGTTGGCCCCCGGCTGGTAATTTTGGTATTCCCCGACACCTGCCCACTGGCGTCGGCAGTGCTTGAACAACGTGCACCAGTACACACGCCCCACAACACCAATTCCCTGCCCGAGAACCATGCGCTGGCACAGCACGCCCCCGCGCGCCGACCGGAGGGTGAGGCCGCGCCCCCCCCGCGCAGCACACTGAGGCTACTCGAGCAGAGATTGGAAAGTTAAAGAGCAGGCCCCTTGACCCAAAATGGCTACGGACCCCCTCCTCCTCCTCCTCCTCCTCCTCCTCCGCCTTGGGAGATACACGCAAATCGACACACATCCAGGCTTCCCACTGTGCTTACATGTGTACTGAATGCTCCTCTGCTCCTCCACTTCCCAGATCCTCTGATCTTTTCATAAAGATCAATGTTTGTGTGCTTGTGTTTTGTGTATCTGTTGCTCTCTTAACACGGAGCCAGGACAAGGACAACATTGGAAAAGGCAGATCAGAGATCTCTGAGATCTGGCAATTCTGGAGAATGTATCGGGCGAAACGGCCTGCTCAAAAAGAACGTTCGAGAACGTTCTGGAAGGACGGATCCCTGTCCTAGCCCCGCCCGAGGAATCGCGACTGCGGCACATCAGAGTGCCGCGGCCCGAACGGTATGAACTTTCTCCCCGCGCGCGCGTGGCTGCTTAGGAGGTCATCCTCTGGGGGCGACGTTTGGGGGCGACGTTTGAAAGCGACGTTTTGGGGCAACGTTTTAGGGCGACGTTTGGGGGCGTCGTATGCGGGCGACGTTTGAGGGCGACGTTTCGGGGCGACGTTTGGAGGCGACGATTCGGGGCGACGGTTGGGGGCGACGTTTGCGGGCGACGTTTCCGGGCGACGTTTGTGAGCGACGTTTGAAAGCGACGTTTTGGGGCAACGTTTGGGGGCGTCGTATGGGGGCGACGTTTTAGGGCGACTTTGGGGGGCGACGTTTTGGGGCGACGTTGGGGGCGACGTTTGGGGGCGACGCTTGGGGGCGACGTTTCGGGGCGTCTGGAGAATGATGGAACGCCCCCTCACTCTTATCCGCAACTGCGTGGTGTTACATCATTTTCAAACTTTCGGCCTAAACAGGCCTTCCTTGGGCCCCCGCCGAATGGCAAGCCGGTCCCAGGGAGTGGAGGACTCCCAGATGGGGTCGAAGGATCGCGCCGCATCGCCGATGCGTCGCCGATGCACCAGCGATGCAGGCGATGCATCGGCGCCGTCGGCGTGCAGAAATTCGGGCGCCCCGTCGAGCCGCATCGCCGATGCATCGGCAACGCGGTGCGATCCTCCGACCCCGTCCACTCCCAGCATGGGGGGAAGTGGGTCCTGGACCGTGGGGCCTTCCCCCGGGACCAATTCCCCATCCTGTCCTGAGCCGTTTCCTGGCAGTCCGAGGGCCCGTGGGGGGCCCCAGGAGCCCGAAAGCTGCGAAACACCTCGGGGCCCGTTTCCCGCAGGACCCGTTTCCCCCATGAC